AGCGGCACGATTTTAGCCAGATACACCAGGTACACGTTTATAGTTTGTTGAAGAAACCCAATGTCTTAAGCCGCGGACTTAATCAAGTCTTACCCCAAGTGGCAGGTCAACTTTACAAATACAATTACAGTATTTAGTATTACAAACTGCCAGTCTTACATGTACATCTACAGTGTCATACGCAGCGTCCACATTACGCAGGAGAAATTTGAAAACGCAGCTTTATTTCTACGGTTACGCCTACCGTCCACACTAATCCGAACCGAAAACGGACCTTTCCGAAAACGCTCTTCAAACCGGAGGAATTTGAAAACGCCGGCTTTGCGTTTACGTGTGAACGGAAACATTTTGAAAATAGAGCTTTCGACAGCCATGACGTCACGATAATCATGTGATTTCCTTGACCGAGGTTTCCTCAAAAACAAATCCGAAATGAGCGGTGATTGTTGCGTTTGTTAAATCCTACGTAGTGTGGACAGGGCCTGAAAAACCCCTCGACAAACCTGTTTCAGCTCATCTCGTTTCCTTTTTAAATTGTTGTTTAGGACATTTTCCAAGGTGTTCTTCTTGGCTTCAAGCTAAAATGAAGATAACATCACGTGTCTGAGGTCAACAAACGAGATCATCAAAAACAATAATCCACTAGTTGCAACGATAACTATAATTATTTTACGGCTAGCTCCGTGAGCGGGCAAGATGAATCAAATCCTGCGCTGTGATTGGCTACCAGAGCGGGTAAGATGGAGCTACCTTGCCAGCTCGGGACTTCCCGCCGTGTCCCGCAAGAAAAATTTTCCCGAAAGCCATATAATAGATCCTTTATTGACCAAGCTTGTTCATTCAAGATGGCTGGATATTGGCCTCGTTCTTTTTTTTGCGAGTTTATGGACCTCGACTCCGTCTCGGTCCATAAACTCGCCAAAAAGGAAACTTGACCAATGTCCAGCCATCTTGACCTCACACTTGGTCAATAACCCATATTTCTATATCTTACTACAGCTGTACATCTAGGTAATCTTAAACAACACTCACTCCGCAAGCGCACATTTTTCAAAGTTCGTAATCTACACTAATTTTATCTATTTTATTACCATTATTCTTATACAAAAACATTCAC